GTAAAATAAAAATATTAAGCGTAATTAAATAATTTTTAAAAATTACATTATACATTATAATAATATTAAAAAATAAAAAATTACTAGTCACTATTCATCTAATTTTAATTCATAAAAAAATAAAATTATTAATAAAATATGAGAAATCAATTACATATAACAATGATTAAAAATTAAAAATCTTAAATTTTAAAATTTTAAAATAAATTCTATATATTTTATAAAATAATGATTAAATTATTTTTATATAAATATATCAACAATAAAATTATTCTAAATGTGTCATTTTAGAGAAAAATAAAGTTACTAGATTTTATTTTTTTTAGAATAGAGGAATGTGGATTTGGGGGGAAGAAATAGAAAAAAAAAGAATAAAATATTATTTAATTTGAATTTGAATATAAAAATAACAACATACATATACAAGTAACAATTTAAGTTTATAAAAATTGGAAAATCTTATAAATAATTAAAAAAAAAACTCTTAAAATTTATGTATGGATATGACTATGTGTTTTTGTTTAATAAGAAAGTACAATTTCTTTTCATGACTTCTATAAAAATTATACTTAAATAAAAATAAAAGTGATATATCTGTAGTTGAGATTTTATACTTAAATTAGAGATAGAATTCCGATTCTTAATTAAAAAATACAAATATTGAATCATTCATATTAACAACCTTTTAATCAAATAAAATTATATAATAAAAAACATTTAAAAAAAAAAGTAATAGTAAATTAATTGAGAAACTAAAAAGTAGTAAGAATGTGAATACTCATATGTATAAGTGAATGGTTTAGTTCAATAATTATCTTCGACATGCATGTAACATTCTCAATAATGTTGTTCTCTCTATTATATAAAGAATATATGTATCTTTTATAGAAGATAATTTTAATTCTAGTCGAACAGAACCTTACAAGCGATAAAAGTCTTATATATTTCAAGTATTAATTTATTATAATGGTGTTGAAATCATTGATTAAGGTAAAAGAATTTCATATCAACAAGGTGTGTAGGGATGCCGTTAAATATCTCAAACAAAACTGAAGAATTTTCATGCAGAATTCTAAAGGAGTGCCCTGAGTAGTGGTTGCAGTGGCCATGGTGGTTACAGGGATAGTCGCCATAGTAGGAGATGTGGTAGTAGCTAGAACTGGAGATGAAGCGGAGACAGTAGTAGGAGAGGCGGTAGATGCTATAGCAGCGGAAGTTGATGTAGCAGAAGAAGCCATTGAAGCACGAAAGCGAAGAACTTGGGAAGGAAGGTAAGAAAACAAGGTACACAGAGTCCACCGGAGAAGGAGATCAAGAAGCATGGTAGAAAGGAAGCAGGGAAACTTAGGCGCGAAGAAAAGTAATGGTAAAAATGATTTGAAAGAAGGTAAAAAATAGAGCTTTAACGTGTTGATGGGCCTAAGGTGAAACGGTTTGGATAAAATAATTCAAAATTTAAGTTGAAATTTGTAACAGCCGCTAAAACGGTCATTATGATGAAACAAATTTACGGAGTCACGTGAGCACGCGCCGTCAGTACCATCAATGCAGCATCAAACGGCCACATGCATTAAATGCAGAATAGGGTATAGGTCAATAGGTTTTCATCGAAAAGACTACCCATTGACATATAGGAGATAGATTGGAGAGCATCAAAGAAAAATCTTGATAGGAATTCAATTCTCCTCCCATCCAGCATGCTCATCAAAACTGAATTCCTAGGGGGGCATTTGTTAGGGCTGCTCGAAATTATGGGAGTCGAAAAGTTGGATTGATAGTGCTACTCGAGAGAAATATAAACGTCAAATCAAACACATGTTGAGAACGTATGACAAGCCCTATTTGTTTGTGCTCGAGGTATGGTCGAATAAAAATAAGGACTACTCGAAAATAGATGAAGGTTTCCTGAGGCTAGCCCAAAACAATTAGGTAGATAGGTCAGAGCGGTTACTAAAGGATAAATCAAAGAGATAAAGACACGTGGGATAAGCAGTTATTGGAAGTTATAAGCACGTATCTGATATGGAGAGCAGTTACCCACCCACGACGCATGCACGCAAAAGAAAACTGTTCTCGAAAATTTCTATAAATAGGCAAAAGTTGGCCTTTTACGAGGTCGGGAAACTCATACTTCAACTAGACCTTCAAGCATTCTCTGCCTGCACACATGGCTTCTATGCGAGGAATTATCTTTGGGTATGATCACTTCTCGGCCACTTTTATTTTCTCTTTTTAGGATTAGAATTAGTTTAGCTTTCTTTCTGTTTAATCATTGCTGAAAGTACTCAAACGTTGAAAATGTTGTAATGATTGGATGTTATGAACGATGATCTGTATTGCTAATATATCTATTGTTCATTCTGTTTATCTGAGGATTTATGTACATGAATATTATTATCTGTTAATCATTGACGAATACTTAGAAACAGCTAATCATTAAAACGTTCTACTCCATTTCCTTTCGTTCTGTATCTCATTTCATAAAAACACGTTAAATACCTAAATTGAAACATTGTTCGTGTGCTAGTTCGAGTAAAAAGAACCTTGTAACATTTTTCACCGTAAACAATATATTATTAAAAAGTGTGGGTATAGACTATAGTGACACACGAAATACGTTATTAAATCTCATTCAAAATCAACATTAAAATTGTGTGTAATTATATGTCAAATAGATACATACCTACATATATTGTACATATAGTGACACTTTTTGTATGTCACTATATTTAACATTTCTTGTAGTATAGGTTTAAATTTTTATTTTTAAAATATGTTTTATAAGCTTTATTTTTCTTTTATAGAATCTTAATTAAATAACTAAACCGTATCATATGCAGGGCGGGTAGACGTAGGTGTACTAGTGGCATGGGACCATTAATTTCTCTCACAAATTTTTTTATTTTACTTTATTAAGTTTAATAAACAAAATTGCCCCATAAAATTGAAAAATATGTATTGACTCTATAACTATATTATTTTGAATAAAAGTTAGAAAATTATACCAAAAATGAATGATTTAATGATTTTTTAATTACATAGAAAAATATTTTTAATTATGATTATCGAAAATAAAAACATCATAGATCATTTTAAAAATGGGTAAGGGTAATTATAATTTGTAGAAATCTAGATATTTTGATTTTTTTTTCTATGAAATTGTATATTTGGTAATGCTTTTTTTCTATGAAAATATTAAAGACTACTTATTTGTTTCTATTAAAGAAAATTTCTAGATCCGCCTTATCATATATATTGATTATATAAAAGAATATATTTATTTATATATTTGTATCAATATTATTATATTATTAAATTATATTTTAATATTTATTTTATATATATATAGATATATTAATTTCCATACATTATACTATATTAGTAAAAAAAATTGAAAATTCCGTTTCTAAAACATTATTTATGAACTAATTTCATAACCTCAATTAAAAAACAATTCTTTATGCTAATTAAATAACAAATTTTGTGTCATTTTATATAAGAAAAAAGTTATTTACATATATTATATAAATATTACATTAAATACTACAGTATCACTTATTTTTAAGCCTGATTTATTTTTGTGTCTATAAATTTTCTCCTTTTGATATTTTTGCTTTTTTCTTCCTCCAAAATTATTTTTGTTTTCTTTCTAAATTACAAGTTTCGTTCCATACAAGTTATTGATTCAAATAATACTAGATTTAATCCTTTTAAATAAGGTCACAAGTTTGTGTCTTGTGCATGAAAAAAAAAACATGATTAAAAAAAAGGATCACACTAAAAATTACTAGTTAGATTTTTAAAAGAAAATTAGTGATTGACAAAACTAGTGAATATTTTACACCAATATCATAGTCATCAAAAAATATAAATTACACTTCTCATTAATTTTTTCCTCGCATATTTTTTCAATATGTCTTACACTATCATATATAATAAATATTAAATGATGATATTCTAATTAATTTTTGAATAATGCTAAATCTTAATTTTTTCAAATATGAAACTCATACAATATATTATAATTAATATCAGTGTTGTTTTTTCAATCAAAATTAGAATTCTACAGCTGGATAACACGTTGACATTTGATGAAAATTTGTATTATACATATTATTAAGGTGAAATAGTATAAAAAAAACAATCTAAACAACACCTATATAATTATTCACTACAACAAAATAGATTTTCAATAACAATAAAAATGACTACAATATATTTTATTAGTATTTCCATATTAGTCATTGATGTAATGTCGGTAAAATATTTACTAACAATTATTCTATATGTTCATAATGATCCATATTGGTTGAAAAAAATGTATGTGTTTTTGTAGTATTTTTTTACTAACATATTTATAATGACTATAAATGTGTATAACTACCTATTTGTTAATTTTTTATTATTGTCACTAAAAGTTTAAAAAAGGATTTCATAGTTTATATATATTTTTAATTGTCTTAATTCTAGTTGGTATAAGATTTGTAAGATGAATTTGGTATGTAAATAAATGGTAGGGGTTATCTTAAAATATTGAATTATAAGTCTAACCTAATCTTATAAAACCAAATTTGTAAGTTGTGAGTTGTCCTCCATTTATGTATTTTTAATTATTTTATTTCTAGTCGATATGAAATTTAAATTTTTTTTCAATAAAATAAATTAAAAGTTGCCTTTACTTTTTTACCGGACATTTTCAATAATTACTCTTATAAATATATTTTTATTAACTATTAATATTTTTATCAAATAATAGAATAGAAACAATTGATTTATGATAATCGAATAATTATTGTTAATAATAAATTTTGATAATTTTTAGTGACTATTATTTATTAGTTATTAAAATTTTTATTTGATAAAATAAAAATAATTAATTTATTATTTTTAAATAATTATAGTTAATAATAAATTTCGTTGTAATAAATAGTGAATTTAAAAGTTTTGTGATTTATTAAATGCGTGCATTAACTTTAAACAAGGAGCAGGTATATACTACTTCAGCCGCGTGGTATTCCTCAAACATTTACTTCAATTTCTTACTTCCTAAGCCAAAGAGAGTGAGAGAGTTTGATCCAAAGATGCCTCGTGGGACGCTTGAAGTTATTCTGATAAGTGCAAAAGACCTTCATGACAGTGATTTTTTCGGTATATAATGCAAATTCAATGGTAGCAGATACTAGTATATATTCTGTGTTTCATATAAATTGCTCCCTCAAACTATGCTTTAAAAACTTAGGGCTTAAATCCCTATATCTCTCAGTTATTTAATTATTTTTCAAGCCAATGCATCTTCTCCTAAATTTTTTTTTATCGATGCAAATTGAATATGTTTCATATCAAACAGTTTGCAACTGTGACACACTTTATTCAATTAACCGAGTTAGATCTCTTGATTATAGCCAAAGATTGATATCAACATAAAGGGGTGATCAATTTTATGTATTTATTTTTATAAACAGGAAAAATGGATCCTTATGTGATTCTCACTTATCGCGCACAGGAGCACAAAAGCAGTGTTGCAAAAGGTATGATTATGGGAGTGTTTTTGCTTATTTTTTCTTAGGGTTTGAGTTTGATTTAAAGTATATAGAAGTTACTGAATAAACTGTTGTTATTAAAGGTGCAGGATCTACACCTCGTTGGAATGAAAGCTTCCTTTTCACAGTTTCTGACAGTGTCTCTGAACTTAATCTGAGGCTAATGGACAAGGATCGGTTCCGTGATGATTTCATTGGTGAGACAAAGTGAGTTGAATTCCTCTTACAACACTTGTAACTTTATTATTCGGATATCTTGATTTATTTCGAATTTGATTCTGTTTTTGTTTTATTAATTTCAAAATCAATTAGTAAATGGCCTTTGGTCCTCCCCCAACAGGAAAAAGAATATTCTTGGTAGATGTTCTCACCGAAAATCTACGATCCTCCGAGTAAGATTGGTGAACCTCCTTCGCTGGTACGCTTATGCTCCAAGATGGGGTGGTACTAAGGAGGAAGGGTGTTTATAAACTACCCTTAGCCTCGACTTCTAAGCGATATGAGACTTTTAGGGAACAGTAGATATAACTCTAAAAGGAGTAAAAAGTTTTAAAAACAAAATTGTCCCTGATTAACCATTGAGTGTGATAGGAAGTATAGAAAAAATGGAAAGTTAAACTATTTTAATAATCAATTATGTAATTGGAATGAATTATTATTTGGTTAAGTTTATTCAAAAACAATTTTTAAATATTTAATTTCATTTTATAAAAAAATATTAACTTTTATATAGTAAATTAACTTTAAGAAAAATTCATTAAAAATGATCATAAATTTTAAATTTCACATTCATGAAAACAACTAACTATTTTTTTAAAAAAAAATCATATAAATTTCAGTGGTTATTCGAAACATATATAAAGTGTTTTCTATAAACAATTTTTTTCTTATAAAAAAACAGCTTAAATTGTGGGAATTATTTTTTCTGAAATACTTAAACTAACACATTTTCCATCAGTTCTAATTTTGTTTTTGGAAATCACAATTTTATTTATCCTACTATTTATTTAATTAATGAACATCATATCACTCATGATTATCGACTTTTCAATAAATTTTAATGAAGTTCACTCATGATTTTATAGTTTCGAAAAAGTAAACTAATGATAGAAAATGTGATAGAGAATTTGTTCCTAGTAATTAAAGTTACATTTTTGTTCACTTCTCTTTGTTTTCAACATTAATTTGTAAATTTCATGTGATTCTCTTTCTCAACTCGTGTGAAGTAGTCAAATCAAAGTGCTCTTGTTTCTCACATGTGCAGAATTGATCTGGAACCAGTGTTTCAAGTAGGGAGCATTCCAGAAACTTCTTACAATGTTGTGAAGAACCAAAAGTACTGTGGGGAGGTTAAGGTGGCAATCACCTTTAATCCTGAGGTAATTTTATCAACTAGAGACCATTAACCAACCAAGTATTGAGTTTGCCTTGGCACTTTAAGAACTTTATATATTGTTGAATTTTACACTTCTCCTTATATCCAAGTGGGTTAGTCTCATTTTTTAATTGACCTAATTGTTAGTTTCTCTCATATTTTTTTTCTTTTTTACTTTTTTGAACTTGCACTCAATGGAGCCTTAAAGGGTTCTTGCTTGCTCTTGTGCTTCTTTGTATTTGAGTTTCAGAGGTCTAATTCTCTCTTTTTGTTTTTGATAGAAATGGGTTGTTAGGGGAAGGGTTTTTATACAATGTTAATTTTTGCACAGGTCTAACTAATGTTAGGAGTGTAGACTTAGTAAGATGTGTGAGGAGTGTAGACTTGTGGCTGTTAATTTAGTCTCTTTCTTTTCTTTGAAAAAAAAAAGTTTTGAAACAAAACCCTTGTGAAGTATACATATTTCCTTTAATTTTCATGTTCTATAACATATATATATTGGCTTGCACTTTTTTATAAGCTATTGGCTTCCACTATTGATAAATAATAATATGCTTTCTATTATTGGTGCTACAACCCATTTCGTTTTGTAATTTCTGGTTGCAGTGGAATTGAGGTGGCTACAGCGAAGAATAAAGCCGTATGGAAAGAATAAGTTATGGAGTGCAAGGGAATCCAATTGGATGAAAGGATTCACATGATTACTAGCAGTGATATGCCTAAATTTCTTGGACCTAGCTATAATTATCTTTTTGAATAATAAGTTGTCACAATTTCAGTGGACATTTTGTTGAAATGATTTATAGAACTTGCATGATTTTCAATTCAATTTTAATTACCTATTTTCAATGATATTTTCCTTTCCAAACCCTTGGTGATCCATATCAAATATCATTATTCGGTAAAACTATTGTGATGTGTTTGGATTAGACATTGGCAATATTTGTGGAATAATCCATATATCTTGTTTTGTGTTTTAAACCTTCATCAATAGTTCCACTAGAAGAAACTTGCAATTTACTTATAGAAGATTTTATCCTAAACCTATAATAAGCTAATTAGTGACAAATATTTTCTCGCTAACTCCTCAGTGATCATTTACATGATGTTTATCATAAATCTCTTACTAGAAATATGAATATAATTGTTTATGACTCAAATTTTTTTCACAATTTCTTAGTCATTCCCTCCTCCAATTATCTTTTCCTAATTGCTTGTTATTCTGTTGTCAATTATCCCTCGTTAAAAGTTTAAGAAATGAGATAGTTGCCATCTACTTACTTGTAAAGTGAGAATTATTTTTTATTTATATACTCTTTAATTATTTTATTTATAGTCGATGTAAAATTTAAGTTTTTATTTATTTTTTTAATTGTCTTATCTCTATGTGAACTTGCAATGTGAAAATTATTTTCTACTTACATACTTTTTAATTATTTTATCTATATTTGATAGGATACTTAAATTTTTCCTAATTAATAAATAATTATCTCTAATAGTAAATTTTAGTGTAATGTAAATATATTTTTAATAGTTATTATATATTATATATTAATCATTAATATTTTTATTAGATAATAAAATAGAAATAATTTATTTATTATCGTTGAATAATTATAAATAACGATAAATTTTGTTGTAGTGCATTTAGAGATGGTCATATCTTCATTTTGGATGCATCAAATCCTAGATCCAATGTTGTTACGTATGATATTCGTGAAACTACTCAAGGCAACCTTTTGAGATCCGATGTGAAGATGAGATCATTTCTCTTTGAACAACTTCATTAGTGCTGCATCAACCATAATTGTGATTTGGATCAAGCTTGTTAATTTTAGGTTGAAAAAGAAAATGAAGTTTCATAAATATTTATCTTTTGTTTTGTATCCAAACAAATTTGTTGGTGCAATTAGCCTATCCGCTTACTACAAAAGACTTCGACTGTTAATAGTTGATTTGGCACCTAAGGATTTTTATAAGCATATATGTTGGAAATTAAAATTATTATTTTTATGTGATTTGAATTGGTTGTGTTGTGTCGTATGTTTGGAATTAATAGATATGCGGCATGATTTTTTCATCAAAATAAATGTTACTAATTTTATTAAGTTTTATATTTTTCAAATAAATTAGAGACAGAGAGAAAGGAAAAAAATATTAAGGCCAATAATGCAAATAGTTAATAGTTACATGACAATAATTCTATGGAGACAAAAGATCAATTCCTTTTTCTAGATTGTAAAAGACATATCCTAGTACAGAGTGAGAGGCTATTCAGCTTTAGCTACTGTAGATTGATATTCTTAATATAACAAAACCCCTAATCATGGATCTCACTATGTATTTAACTGCATATGTTAGGAAATAATGAAGTCAGAAACTCTAAGACTCTAACAAAATACATTTCTTTTAATAAATGCTTCTTTCAAGAAGCAATCACTATTTGATCTAAATCTCAATCACATACAAATAGACGTTTCATATCCTTTTATGATAATTGTCATATAACTATAAAATTTGAGGGTATGTTTGGTAATTATTCAACATATCTTATATTTTAGAGTTGTGTTTATCTTAAGTAATCGATAAATTAGAAGTAAATAGATTTATGCTGAGATGTTTTATTGTTAGGAAATTTTGATAGTTTTATGTTTAAATTACTGCAAGAGAAGGGGGAGGCAAAACATTGATAAAGAATCAAATCAAATACTGAGGTTCTCGGAAGAAAATCAATAGAGGGAATTATCATTTATTTATAATTATTAAAGCATTCATTTGTAATTGGGGAAATCAACATTTATATGTAATTAGAATAATTAAAGCAATTATAGGATAGTGATCTTGTCATTATTGTGTGCTTTTAAATTAATCATAATTGTATTCGTAAACCTTGGTTATGAAATAAAATTTTGATAAATGAGAAATAACAAAATATTATGATTTTTGTGAACTATTAATAGAATTTACTTTAATCACTTCATTAAAGTTAACTTTTTTTTTATCAATATTTTGTCTTTTAGGAACCATATAAATGATTGTTATTTTTTTATTATCAACAATTAAATAATGGTTAATATATATGAAGTTGTTAATATTATTACTTATATTTATATAAAATATTGATAAAAATTTATAAAATTGTAAAAAAAAAATTACATATATAAAATAATGACTAATAAATAATAAATTTTAACAACTAATATTTATTAGTCACAAAATCATATAATTTATTATTTAATTTAGTGAAAATTACATTTTTACCACCATAAAATTATTATTAAAAATTACTTTTGCGGCAGTGAATCTTTTGGAATATGTGAATGTCAAAAGAGAGAAATTCACTATGCATGTCAATGCCACTAGATGCTCCTGATAAAACCACTCATGACACCATTTTCAGAGGGTACAAAAATAAAATTGTATATTTTATATAATATGAAAAAATTACATGTTTAAATTATATAGAAATTTATTATAGGAAATAAATTAATTACAAATAATTAATTAATTGATAGGTAATATTCTCACTACTCAATAGAATCTATATCTGTTCTTACTAGAAATCTACTATAGAGCTGATCTGCCAGGTAAGATCGGTGAGTCTCCTTCACGGGTGCGCTGGTGCTTCAAGATGGGGGTGGTACTTGCAAAAGAGACTCTTATGCCAAAGTTAGGGTTTGTATGAGTAATAGTCTCGTATATGTAATGCACGTACCTTGGTGTGATTTAGGGTTGCTTTGGGCCTTGGGCTTGAGACGAAGTGTAATATGATTAGATAACGAATCTCGTCTGGGGAGAGATCCTCGGGGATCAGTTATGATTCATGTAAATACCGAGCTGATGTCACGTGGTGCGCGTCCGAGGTCGGTTTGCGTTGCGGTGCCGAGCTCGGAGCTCGGTTACGCAGTACAGATAGTACACTAGCCCCCCGAGCTCCGAAGGCCGAAGGCCTTCGGAGTTAAGGCCGAGCTCGCTGGGGGGAGGTGACCTTTCGCGTACGTTTGCTCGTTTTGGTGCCATGTGTCACGACTGTTCATTTCCTGGAAACGTGCAAGTGGCGTGTCATGGAAAATGACGGTTATACAATGATGAATTTGTAATTAATTGTGTTGTCAGGCGTGGCGGTTTTGAAATGTGGGAAACAACCCTTCTCTTTTTCTCTCCCGCGTCTCTTCCCATTCGCTTCACTCTCTTCTACTCTTTAGCTTCTTGGATACGATAGTTTTCAGTGCTTTCTTGTTTTCCTTTCGTCTTCATTTTTACAGTCCTTCTTCGAGTTTTCTTGATGGCTGGTGGTCATGGCGTTGGTTCTTCTGCGCCTGTCAGGGGCAAGGCGCGCGGCAAGGTGGTGGCTACCGGGAGGGGTGTCGCCGAGAGGAAAGAGTTATCCCCGCCTAAGGACCTGGAGCCGGGTATTCCTGGTTACGACTGGGTCAAGCGCGAGGTGGGGGTCGTCCAAAGTGTGTTCAGGTCGCGCTTGGAGGTCGATGCAGTTTGGAAGACGCACCGGATTTGCGACCCCGCCATTTCCCGGATGATTCGGCTCGAGCCCTGCCCGGCTGGTGAGGGTGTGTTCATGGGGAAGTCGACCGATCCCCCCCACTTTTATGTTTATCAGAGTTTCTTCAGGGACCTGGGCGTTTGTCTTCCTTTCACTCAGTTTGAGTGTGACTTCTTGAACTATATCAACGCGGCCCCTTGTCAGCTGCACCCCAATAGCTGGGGCTTTTTGAGGGCGTTTCAGGT